CTGTGTTTATCGTCATGGCCGGGATCGACTCCGCCTGAATCGGGAGTAGTCGGGCATCTTCCGCCGACGGACTCAACGTCATTGCCAGAGCCGCTGTTCCGCATTGTATTCGTGTCCCCATCGTGGCCAAGAAATCCATACCCAATATCATGCGGTCTAACATAGTGGGCATAATCAAAAATGGCATCGTTACCTGTTTACCAGCAAATTTCACCCGGGTGCGCCATAGCTCCTCCACCTTCAAGTTCGATCGATCCGCCAGTGCGATCGTGGTCGTGATTCCATAGATCTTTTTCTCGTTTGGCCACCATGCGGCCGAATTCCTCACTGAAAAAAACTTCTCGACGCTCCCGTGTCAATCGTCGCGTCCACCCATCGTCCGCCGGTCCGCACTGTAGACGTGATCAGGCCATTGTGCAGTCTCAATTGCGAGTTGTGTGTGGCCAAGTTGTCTCTCCCAACGTCTCCGCTGCTCCCGGGCCTCGGCGAAGACGTTGTCCGTTTCCCGGTACAACTCGTCGGCAACACTCGATGATCAAGACCCCTCTACGGCCACATTCCCAACAAAAATCCACGGGGGAGCCAGTACACTCCCGCCGGGATTGCCCCACTTCCCCGCATCGGCGGCACGCGCGCTGCATGTCTACGGTTGCCCCGGGCTGCACGAGCATACGGTGTGTAGCACCCACTTCATGATGGGGTGTTCCGGGATTCCGAAACGAATTTGGGGTGCGACGCATATTGGGACTCTCATTGTTCATGCCCATCTTTCGCGGCACTCCAACGCGGCTTGACTCCAGTTGTCTCACGTTCTCATGTTCTGTCGCCATCTGCGTCAACTGGGCCAGGGTCGTGAACTCATGGCGTCTAATGTACAGTCGATATTCCGGCGCCATGTTCTCGTAGGCCCGATACACTTCCTCTTCCTCACTGTAACCGGCCTGCTGCATCTTTGTCCTCAGTTCGACCAAGTAATCTTTAAATTCTTCTCCCACTCTCTGAACGTGGGTCCTGATCTCGTCTTCTAGACGCTCGAAATAGCGGGGCGGTAAAAAGAATTCCAGAAATTCTCGCCGGAACGTCGCCCACGAGGCCGTCCGCAAGTGGCTCGTTCGGAACCATCGGGCTGCCCTTCCTTCGAGGATCTCGGACATAACCGGGGGACTTCCTCCGGATTGACCCCATACGTAGCTACTTTCTCCTCTAGCTCAGCGATCAGCATCAACGGATCGGACTCTCCGTCGAACCTTAAGTTCCACTTGCGCATTCGTTCCGGAAGCAAGTGTCGAGGAAGGGGGACCCTTACTGATGCCTCCTGTGTGGGCGCACCCATCTCATTACCGGGTCCGGGCGGCAACAACAAGGTATCCATCGTCGAGTAGGGTGAGCTCCGCGTCGGGTGGTACGACTCCCAGGCGATGAAGTGCCGGCGGAGGTCGCTGCCAGCCCAACCGGAAAAGTTTCGGCTCCTTGTGCTAGGCCTACGCTTTTCCCCTGTCTGTGGGGACTCGGAGCGCGAGAGCTATAGAATTCTTGTAATTCCATGAGTCGTTTCCACACTGTTTCAGGAAACGATCCCCTGCTCACCAGCGTAGCGAACGCCTTCTGCGTATCTGCTACTGTGCCGTCTGCACTGAATCCAAATTCCTGCGCTAGGGACGCGAGCTCGTCTTTACGTCGGGCATAGATCCACCGTACACCCACTCCGGGATTCTTCGTCAAATCCGCATCTTCATACTCGCAATCCGACTCCTTTGGGTCGACCATGGCTCACGCAGTTAGTCTTTAGCTGTCCCTTTTCTTGGTAAATCTTTGTACGGGGCGCTGGTTGGATTCTTCGATCCACCTCACAAGACAGTTTGTATCCTTTAGTGGGTCTTTACGCCACTTTCTTGTAACTCTAGCTAGCCTCAGTGTCCCTGCTCGGGCGCCACTTGTAAGGGAGTTTTCTAGCCGGGATATGAATCTCAGTCGTATTCCGGGGTCCTTTACAAGAAAATTTGTAAGTCACTGAGACACTGAGCTAGAGAGGTCTGTTCGTTCGATGAACAGAGTTTCATGGACTGGAGGGGTTCTTCAGACTCAAAAATTCCACGGGCTGGACCTTTGGGCGAGGCCGCAGCCGATCGGAAGGCTTTGCGCTGAAAAGAGACTCTCGCCTAACGGAGGCGGAAAATTCCACCGGCTGGACCTTCGGGCGAGGCCGCAGCCGACAGAACGATTCGGGGCTAAAGTTCAGTTCTCACCTGATGGGGTGGAAAATTCCACCGGCTGGACCTTCGGGCGAGGCCGCAGCCGACAGAACAATTCGGGGCTCAGAAAATCACTCACGCGCGTTAAGGGGGATCCGCCGCCCTTCTTCCGACCTGCCTAGGGAGGATCGACCTTCCCCAACGAGTTTACTATAGTTAGGATCCGCCTTCCCTCTTCCGTCCTAACTGGGGAGGATCGTCCGTCCCACAACGATTTGTTCACTAGGGGGGATCCGCCGCCCCTTTCCCGATCTGCCTAGGGAGGATCGGCCTTCCCGAAAACGATTGCCCTACAGGGAGGATCCGCCTTCCCTTTTCCTGGCCTATTCGGGGAGGATCGTCCGTCCCAGAACGAGTTATGCACGAGGGAGGATCCGCCTTCCCTTTCCCTACCTGCCTGGGGAGGATCGGCCTTCCCAAAACGAGTTATGCACTAGGGAGGATCCGCCTTCCCTTTACCGTCCTAACTAGAGAGGATCGGCCTTCCCAAAACGATATCCACAGAGAGGATAATTTCGCACTACCAAGACTACGTTTACTCGGCAATGGATTAACAAGGAAATTTAATAACAACGGGTTAATGTTTCTACTTGCTTTCAAACTTTATTTCGTTAGTATCTACACTGCACCGATTACAGTGTGTTCTCGCTAACCTGTCTTTGTGATCCCACGTGTTTGCGTGCCTGTTTCCGCGTGCCGGGTCCTCGCTGCCCGCGTGCGTCTGCTCGTCACTCTTCTCCGCCGGAAACTGCCTCGATCTTACTTTTCCTATGTGCCCGCACACCTTTTATTCCCCTCACCTACGCTAAGCTTGTCTGGCATCTCTCTGGGCTTTCTGGTATTTTATCCAGGATCGATACCGTGGGCGGGGTTTATGACCTCGCTTTATATCATAACTCCCAGTAAGCTTAGCCCTTGTTTTATAAAAATTATATATGTCGGAGTTTATTTAGATTAATCAGATTTAATCATTAGTATTAAGTCTCTCAGTGTATCGAAATATGAAATGAATAAAAATCAAAAGAAATAAGAAGAAGAGAATGACACATAAAAAAGCTTTAGATTGAGAGCGCGGTAGGGAAGGGGAGAGAAATCCTTACTGATAGAGAGACGAGACATGGTCATAAAAACAACAAAGCAGCAATAACCTGCTATAGATGTGGCGGCGCTGGACATATTGCATCAGTGTGTATGAAAGGGACGGCATCACCGAATATCGTAATCGAGAGAAGAGTGGACATGTGTGCGGTTCTTCAGCATAATGGGACAGCAATACAATTTGGTGAGCGGTTTCCATTTTTCTTTGATTCGGGTTCCGAATGCTCTCTGGTAAAGGAAATAATTAGCGAGAAACTGGCCGGAAAAAGGTGCCATAATCTAGTAGTTTTGAGAGGCATAGGCGACAATGTTGTCAAGAGCAATGTGCAAATCTTGTCCACCGTACAAATCTCTGAATTTAATTTTGAATTATTATTTCATGTAGTAGATAACAATTGCCTCAAATATGATATGATAATTGGACAAGATATTTGTTTGGTCCAGCCCAAACAACTTAAATAGCATCCCTTTTTGTTTTCTTAACATCATAACTAAAAACTATTGTAACTGCCCTGCGAGGCAAACTCTCTTAAATTCGCTTGCCCTGCGAGGCAATTCTCTTAACCATCGCTTGTTCTTTGCTTATCATTTATCATCTCGCACTTCTTCGTTAAGCTCATGCAGCTGCATTGCATCGGCATTGCCAAAAATAGTCTTTATCTGTCGTCGCTAAGTCGTTGTTAGCTAACAGTCGTTAATAGTTGTCGTCGTTATCAGATCGTTGCTAGATCGTTTGCATTTAGCGCTCAAACCAACTCGGGTTTTGTCTGCGCATATTATCGTATTATTTTGTCGCCGCCCTTGTGCCGATAAATAAACTCTATTGTATTCAATAAATATACTTAAGTGAATCGAAAATAAACTTGTTATAATTTACGTTGGAGCTAATTAAATACAACTTTATAAACCTAAACTAAATCTTTGTGTTATCTTGCCAAAAAATAGTTAGTGAAAAAGCTCGCTAACTCAACATTTTGGAGGCCCCGGCGAGATAATCACAAACATTCGAAGTGAATTAATTATAAATTAATACAAGTCTTGCAACTTGTAATTCGGTGTAATTCGGAGGTCGTTGGCCGAGTGACATTTTGCCCTCTGTGCAAGTCGCGCTTGCGGTATTATCGCGTGTTCTTTTTCTCCTTTTTGTGCTACGTTCGTTTGGTTCTATACAGGGTGTCTTGCCTTAAGTGAAACATGTCGGTTGAAGACAAAACCCTTTCGCCACAAACTCAAGCTACCTTTTTTAAGCTTAAAGCCGAATCAATTTGGCAACGTGCTGAAACAATAAATAAGCAATTAACAGTGGAAATGCTTAGAGGCATGTGTGACAATGATCTTAGTGTGCGAGAAGACCTTGTGAACAAACTAAGTGATTGTTTTTGCCTGGCTCATGACAACTTAGAAAAGGAAGACTATAATGAAATCGGTAGCCCATTACGCGATAATTTCGAAGAGCTTATAGCCACCCTTAAAGTTCGCATCCGTGCAGAAATTCGTAAACGCAATTCGACTGTGCCTTTATCTTCAACATTTCGCGCGGAAGATCCATTTTCGTCCCATTCGATTTTCGTAACTCAAAAATCTCGATTGCCGGATCTTAAACTTCCAACATTTAGTGGCGGCTACACACAATGGGCCGATTTTCATGCCATGTTTTCGACGATCATCGACAAGGATCCTGGACTCTCGAATATCGAAAAACTGCAGCACCTGCGCTCCTGCCTCAAGGATGCGGCCCTCGACACCATAAAATCACTGGAAATCTCTGACAGCAACTACCGTATCGCTCTTGAATTATTAAATAACAGATTTAATAATAAACGCATTGTTTTTCAGGCACATGTTGCACAAATCTTTGGCCTAAAGACGATCGAAGCTGGGTCAGTTGGCAAGTTGAGAGAACTTTCTGATAGGCTTATCAGTCACATGCGGGCTCTTCAGGCATTGGGCGATCAACAGCAAATCGCAAATTGCTTCATTGTTCAAGCCTTGGTGCAAAAGCTGGATCCACCTACCCAAGCCAAGTGGGAGGAGTCGTGCTCGGTTGATAAAATACCATCGTGGGAGGAGTTTTCGAAGTTCCTGGAAAGACGTTGCCAGACTCTAGAGAATGTGGAGCTTGCCATGGCTACCCATTCATCCAGCCACTCATCTGGAAGGCAAAATCGTTCTAGCAAGGCCCTACTAGCTGCCAGTCCATCACGATGCCGATTCTGCAGCGATAGTGGCCACTCCATATATACATGCACGAGATTTGGTAATCTTTCCCCAGCACTAAGGCTAAAGGAAGTGAAGAAGATGTCGCTGTGCATAAATTGCCTTAAAGACGGGCATCAATTGCGCTCGTGCATTTCTAGCGGCTGCAGGAAATGTGGATCTAAGCATCACACATTGCTTCATTTGGGAGACGCACCATTTCCAACGTCATCTGCAATGCCATCGCCAGCTCAGCCTGCGCCGGCCCCAGCTAATACAGCTCAAGAATCTTCCAATCAGTACTCACTCGCTTGCACGCTGCCCTCTGACTCAGTTTCTTCCTCTTTCGAAGGACCTCAACCTTGCAACTTTGTGCTCTTGGCAACTGCTAATGTTTTTATTAAAAACAGAGCTGGTAGTCTAATACCTTGTCGTGCCATACTCGACTCAGGCTCGCAAGTTCATATTATAACATCTAGATTCGTGCACCTTCTTCAACTCAAAAGGATTAAATCTGCTGCAGCTGTATCTGGTCTTGGAGATTCTAGCTTCAAAACTACAGGATATGCTGTCCAGCTGTGTATATCGTCTAACTCTACAAATTACTTTGCAAGTATTGAAGCCGTGGTTGCATCCGCCATTGTCAACGACCAGCCTGACTTCAATTTCGACTCATCGCCATGGAATATCCCGTCGAATCTACCATTAGCTGACCCGGAATTCAACAAATCGAAGAGGATTGACCTTCTCATAGGAGCGAGTTTGTTCTATGATTTGTTATGTATCGGACAAATCAAGCTTGGCCCCCATCTTCCCACTCTGCAGAAAACTCGACTGGGATGGGTTGTCTCTGGTGGCACGGCACACACTTGCCACACTCTCGTTGCCTCTCAATCTATTTCAGATAAAACGCCAGAGCCTGAAGATCGAATTGATGATCTTCTGCAGCGATTTTGGGAATTAGAATCCTGTCCTTTGGAAAGCTCGAAATTCACCAAAGAAGAAACGGAATGCGAGGACCATTTCCAAAACACCTTCTTGCGACTACCCACTGGTGAATATGAAGTTCAGCTACCGAAAACTGGAAAAATCGATGGACTTGGAGAGTCATACCAGCAAGCATTTCGCCGTTTTCTCAGCCTGGAGCGGAAACTGGAACGCCGTCCTTATGTCAAGGAACAATACTCGAACTTTATAAAGGAGTATCTGGAACTCAACCATATGTCGCTTGTACCTCCGGATGATAGAATGCACTGCAGATTCTTCCTCCCGCATCATTGCGTCTTTAAGGAAGATAGCACGACCACCAAACTACGTGTCGTATTTGATGGATCAGCAGCTTCATCATCTGGAATTTCGCTGAATGACGTGTTGATGGCAGGACCTACCATACAGGCTAAGCTCTTCAATATTCTAATCCGTTTTCGTACCTTTGCAGTTGCTCTGACTGGAGATATTGGAAAAATGTATCGCTGTGTTCGAATAGCCAAGTCAGACAGCTATTTGCAATGCATTCTTTGGCGCGGTTCTGATCAGGATGACATCAGCATCTACAAGTTGGACACCGTAACATACGGTACCAAACCCGCCGCTTTTCTATCAGTTCGAGCGATGCATCAGTTGGCCATGGATGAGCAGTCGAAGTACCCTGTAGGATCTCAAATCGTCAGACGTGATTTTTATGTTGATGACTTGATCACGGGAGGCAGTTCCATTGAAGAAGTCGAGGAGATTCTTCAGCAAACAAAGGACTTGCTAGCGAAAGGTCACTTCATGCTTCGAAAGTGGTGCTCTAATGTCCCAGTCGTTCTCGAAAAGGTTCCAGAAGATGAGAAAGAATCTTTCCTGAAGTTTCATGATGGAAGCGACATAACCAAAACTCTCGGATTGGCTTGGGATCCTGCATCAGACGTCCTTCTTTTCTCGTACTTGCCTACGCAGTCCACGACCAAGCCAAACAAACGTGCTGTGCTCTCGTCAATATCCCGATTTTATGACCCGCTTGGCCTCATAAGCCCGGTTATAACTAAAGCCAAAATCTTCCTACAGGAGCTCTGGAAAGAGAAGCTACACTGGGATGAAAGCTTGCCCGAATCTCTAAGCTCAACCTGGTCCAATATATGCCTTCAGTTTCGCAGCGTAGAAAGGACGACATTTCCCCGATTCGCACTACTACCAAAGGGATCAATCGAGATTCATGGGTTTTGCGATGCTAGCATGTCCGCCTATGGAGCATGCGTGTATATTGTATCCAGATCTGCTGACAAATCCAATGCTCAACTATTGTGCGCCAAGTCTCGGGTAGCTCCCTTAAAGACTCTGTCGATTCCGAAGCTTGAACTATGCGGAGCGCTTCTGTTGGCCAATCTTCTGAGTGAGCTTCAAAAAATGGATATATTTTCAGGTCCATACTTCTGCTGGTGCGATTCAACCGTAGTCCTAGCTTGGCTGAATAGTGAGTCATCCCGATTCACAACTTTCGTTGCTAACAGAGTAGCATCCATCCAAAGACTGTCTAGCGGAATGGAATGGCGTCACATACCCACTACACTAAATCCTGCTGATATCATATCCAGAGGAGCCTTGCCCATGGAATTGAACGCATCCGATCTCTGGTTTCATGGACCTTCGTTCTTGCTGCTACCGCGATCCAGCTGGCCGCCATCCCCTGCCCAAGAGCAGTGCTTACTGGAGCTGCGCAAGTCAACGTGCTTGGTTTTGACGTCACCGATTGATCTGACATCTACGTGCAAGTTTGAAAATTCATTTCCTGCTATGCAGCGAATTTTCGCATACATACACAAATTCTTGTTTCGACTTAGATCACCCACTCTGACTGTTTCAGATTTACAGAATGGTACACGCCTCCTAGTTCGAGCGGTGCAGCGAGCTACCATGTGGGCTGACTTAAAAGCAATTCAGGCCAACCATGTCCTGAAGCCATCGAACTGCTTGTCATCGCTGTCTCCATTTGTTGATGATTTTGGTCTTCTACGAGTCGGAGGTAGACTGTCGAACTCAAGCCTGCCCTTTGACTCTCGACATCCCATGATCCTGCCCAGGAAGCATCCAATTACTTCGGCTATCATCAAGCACTTCCACGAAGAAAGCCTTCACGCAGGACCTCGTACACTGCTGGTCAGAATCAGACTCCACTATTGGCCCATCGGGGGAGAAGAACAGTCGCTGCTGTCGTCACCAGGTGTATTCGCTGCTGTCGTGCTCGGCCACGTACACTTCAGCATGTTATGGCAGACCTGCCAAAGGAACGCGTGGATTCTTGCAAGGCTTTCACTATCACTGGAGTGGACTACTGCGGCCCATTCATGTATAAGCCTGAAGGACGAAAACGCCAGCCGTTGAAATGCTACATATGCATTTTTATATGCTTTGCAACCAAAGCAGTTCACATGGAACTAGTGGCTGATTTATCCACACCAACATTCTTGGCAGCCCTCAGACGCTTCATTGCAACAAGAGGTCGTCCCAAATGCATTTGGTCTGATAATGCTACCAACTTTACTGGAGCCAAGAACGAGCTTGCCGAACTTCGTCGTTTATTCCTAGCTGAGGACCATTTGAAGGCAATCGAGAGCTTCTGTCTAGCTGACTCCATCGAATGGAAATTCATTCCACCCAGATCGCCTCACTTTGGAGGCCTGTGGGAGGCCTCAGTTAAGACAGCCAAGCATCATCTTTATCGGACTATTTCGCAATCCACACTCGGATTTGATGAGCTGCGCACCATCATTTGCATGATCTCAGCCATCATCAACTCTAGACCGCTGCTGCCCCTATCAGAGGATCCAGCAGACCTTGATGTCCTGACTCCGGCACATTTTTTAACTGGCGGTCCTGCTACCAGTTTCTGCGAACCAGATCTCTCTAACCTAAATGTCAACCGACTTGATCGTTGGCAGAAAATGTCTTATTTGCAGGAAACCTTTTTGGAAACGCTGGCGTGAAGAATACCTGACGCTCCTTCAGCAGAGATCCAAGTGGCGTTCTCCTCAACCCAGTCTGCAAGTCAACGATGTCGTCCTAATTAAGGATGAAAATCTACCACCACTAGCTGGCCATTAGCTCGTGTGCTAGAGCTGATAAAGGGAAAGGATGAAATCTGTCGAGTCGCTGTCCTGAAGACTGCAACAGGAATAACCAAGAGAGCTGTCGCCAAACTGTGCCTTTTGCCTACGAAGGATGATGTTGAAAGCCCTGGCCTTCCAACGGGGGGAGAATGTTTGGTCCAGCCCAAACAACTTAAATAGCATCCCTTTTTGTTTTCTTAACATCATAACTAAAAACTATTGTAACTGCCCTGCGAGGCAAACTCTCTTAAATTCGCTTGCCCTGCGAGGCAATTCTCTTAACCATCGCTTGTTCTTTGCTTATCATTTATCATCTCGCACTTCTTCGTTAAGCTCATGCAGCTGCATTGCATCGGCATTGCCAAAAATAGTCTTTATCTGTCGTCGCTAAGTCGTTGTTAGCTAACAGTCGTTAATAGTTGTCGTCGTTATCAGATCGTTGCTAGATCGTTTGCATTTAGCGCTCAAACCAACTCGGGTTTTGTCTGCGCATATTATCGTATTATTTTGTCGCCGCCCTTGTGTCGATAAATAAACTCTATTGTATTCAATAAATATACTTAAGTGAATCGAAAATAAACTTGTTATAATTTACGTTGGAGCTAATTAAATACAACTTTATAAACCTAAACTAAATCTTTGTGTTATCTTGCCAAAAAATAGTTAGTGAAAAAGCTCGCTAACTCAACAATATTTTTCAACTTGGTTTTGGAGTAATGATGGAAAATAATAAATTGGATGTTTATAAAAGTCAAACCGTACTGTCAGTAAACAATGATGTCATATCAAATAAGATCGACTATATAAATAATATAAACCTAGACTTAAATGATAGTGATAAATTAAAATTAAACAACATGTTGGCCAAATATTCAAAATTCTTTATCGATGGTATCCCTAATAGACGTGTAAATACAGGTTGTTTGGAAATCCGTTTGCTAGATGGAAATAAGACGGTTCAAAGGAGACCGTATCGCCTCAGTGAAAATGAAAAATTGATAGTAAGAGATAAAATTCAGCAAATGTTAGAAGCAAATGTAATAAGACCTAGTAGTTCTCCTTTCGCTAGCCCAATGCTGTTAGTTAAAAAGAAAGACGGCAGTGATAGATTATGCATTGATTATCGGGAACTTAATTCAAATACAGTATCGGACAAATATCCACTACCATTAATCTCGGACCAAATTGATCGCCTCAGACGCGGGAAATATTTTTCCAGCCTAGAAATGGCCAGTGGTTTTTATCAAGTCCCTATCCATCCCGATTCCGTAGAAAGGACTGCATTCGTGACAACGGAGGGTCAATATGATTTTCTAGCAATGCCTTTCGGACTTAAGAACGCGTCTGCTGTTTTCCAACGAGCCATAGTCCGAGCCTTGGGGGATTTAGTTAATACCTATGCAGTGGTCTATATAGATGATGTGTTAATTATTTCAAAATCAAAAGAGGAAGCATATGAGAGACTAGAGGAGGTGTTGAGTGTGTTATCAAAGTCAGGGTTTTCTTTTAATGTAAAAAAATGTCAATTCTTACACACACAGATCGAATATTTAGGTTTTCTTATAAAAGAGGGTGAAATAAAGCCCAACCCACGAAAAATCCAAGCATTGTCTCAACTCCCTAAACCAGCTTCAGTAACACAGATTAGACAATTTATAGGTTTGGCATCCTATTTTAGGCAATTTGTTCCACGTTTTTCGGAAGAAATGAAGCCGCTATATCAATTGACTTCGAAATTAAATGAATTTGAATTGAAAGAAGAACATGAAAAAATTCGTCAGAAAATTATTAAAGTTTTAACTAGTGACCCTGTATTGATTATATTCGATCCCAAATTTCCGATTGAGCTGCACACAGATGCAAGTGCCAATGGGTATGGGGCTATGCTTATACACAAAGTAGACGGCAAACGCAGGGTAGTAGAATATTTCAGCAAATGCACTACACTATCAGAATCGAGGTATCACTCATACGAGCTCGAAACGCTGGCGGTATATAATGCCATCAAAAATTTCAGGCATTACCTTAGTGGTAGAAAGTTCACCGTATATACAGATTGCAATTCCGTTAAGGCGAGTCGAGAGAAAGCAGTACTGACCCCACGGGTGCATCGATGGTGGTCATTTACGCAGCCGTTTGAATTTCAAGTAGAGTATCGAAAGGGAAGCCAAATGGCACACGTTGATTGCTTATCAAGAAATCCTGTTTCGGTAGTAGCTCCGACGAATACAAACAAAATAAGTGAAGTACGAGTTGACTTGGCAACTATCACTCACAACTGGCTAGTATCCGAACAGCAGCGCGATGAAGATATAAAGAGAATTATAAATGAATTAAATAGTGATGAAATGCAGAAAGAGATGGCAAACACATATGAAATTAGGAAGAGTTTGTTGCATCGCATTATTCAAAGAAATGGCAAGACGCGATGTTTACCTGTTGTTCCGAGAGCGTTTAGGTGGTCGGTAATTAATCACATTCACGAGAGCATAATGCACTTAGGGTGGCAAAAGACGTTAGATAAGGCCTACGAGCAGTATTGGTTTGAAAATATGAGTAAATATGTCCGAAAATTCGTAGAAAATTGTGTGACATGTAAATTGTCAAAATCGCCATCGGGCAAAACACCATCAGAACTACACCCGATTCCCAAAATCGAGATACCCTGGCACACAATTCATATCGATATTAGTGGGAAATTAAGTGGCAAAAAAGACGAAAAGGAGTACATTATCGTACAAATTGATGCCTTCACTAAATTCGTCTATTTACATCATACTTGGAACCTAGATTCCATAAGCTGCATACAGTCGGTCTGAATCTGCCATGTCAATATTCGGTGTCCCCAGTAGGATTGTAGCGGACCAAGGAAGATGCTTTACGAGTGGCGAGTTTCGCAAGTTCTGTTCTACAAATAAAATTGAATTACACACAATAGCGACAGGTGCTAGCAGGGCGAATGGCCAGGTAGAGCGCGTGATGAGTGTGTTGAAGAGCATGTTAACGGCAGTAGAGACTAGCGAGCGTTCGTGGCAGGAGTCATTGGGAGAAATACAATTGGCTATTACTGCACTATTAATCGGGTGACTCAACATAGTCCATTAGAGTTGTTGATAGGTAAAGAGGCGAGGCCTATGGGAATGATGACTATCAATGAAGAAATGCAAGTCGACTTGGAGAAAGCTAGAGAAAAGGCTAAGGAGAATATTGACAAGAATGCAGTGTACGAGAAAGCAAGGGTTGATAAGAAGCATGCACAAATAGTGAAGCATAAAATTGGGGATCATGTATTGTTGAAGAGCGAGGAACGACACCAAACAAAATTGGATCCCAAATTTAAGGGTCCATTTGTTATTACTGAACTGCTAGATGGAGATCGATATTTGTTGAAATCATTAACTACAAAGCGAGTGAACAAGTACCCACATGATAGTGTGCGTAGTATACCTGATGAGCGAGAGGTTAGCGAGTTAATAGAAGAATTCGATGATGGCGAGAGAGGCATACGAACAAGAAGCAAATCGGTGACCTAGAAGAGGTGAAAGTGGAGCCATACACAGGGACTAAGTTTGAAGGAAAGTAATCAAACAGAGAGTGTGGCACGGTGGTGCGTAGCGTCGCAGAAATGTGGCAAGAGTCCGAAACTGTGGTATGAGCGAATTGGTATGGTCGAGTTCATGTAGAAGATTGTGATTGTGATTGTACTCTATGAGTAAGAGAATAGCCTACTGAACTGACATTTGATGGTTTGAAAGATTGATAGCCAGACGATTGGGCTTGAGCAGAAGAGAGCTTGTACTCTAAGAGATGGTAGATTGGTATCCTGCTAAGTCAATGTCTGATGGAGTGTGAAGTGAATATCCGAGTTGTTGGATTTGTGCGGAAGAGAGCTGGTACTCTAAAGGAAAGAAAAATAGATTATCCCGCCAAATTAACATTCGAAGATAAGAGAAAGTGTATGCGAAATGGCTTTGAAGAGTTAAAGCCGATTAAAATTAAATTGAATGCCATCTTTAGTTAGACTAACTAACACGAGGACGTGTTATAGTCAGGAAGGCCGTGTCGGAGTTTATTTAGAATAATCAGATTTAATCATTAGTATTAAGTCTCTCAGTGTATCGAAATATGAAACGAATAAAAATCAAAAGAAATAAGAAGAAGAGAATGACACATAGAAAAGCTTTAGATCAAGAGCGCGGTAGGGAAGGGGAGAGAAATCCTTACTGAGCGTGGCGCAAGGATAGGAAGAGAGGTGTACTGTGTAAAGCAGCGGAGAAGGGCAGTCTATGCTAGCCTTCGCGAGTGGACAGACACAAAAGACATCCTTGCGACTCGCTGCGTTCCACTGAAGTAAAAGAACTAAAGTAAAAGAAGTGAAAAGAAAAGAAGTGAACTAGTGAGCATAATGGCCAATGTACCTGACCCCTCATCTCCAACATATATGTATTGGGCTCCATGCCACGACTTCGGGGTTTTCCTCTAATACACTTAATTAATCCTTACAACTATAAGCAAAATCAATAATTCAAGATAACTTTCTCTTATGACTAATAATCTTAATAATATTGTTATTGAGAGGGGTTGCCAGTCCCGTCGGTGTGCTTTTTTTTTTTTTTTTTTTGAAGAGCATTTATGGCTGCTTACACCGTCAGCGTCTCCGTGTTTTGCTGTTTGAGCCCGCGTATGTGTATTGTACGCTCCTTCTGTGTCTGTTGGTGACGTATTTTGCAAATTACTGGTGATGTGAAGTCCGTGACCTGGTATGGCCCGTCGTATCTAGGTGCCAGCTTTGCAGCGAACCCTTCGATTGCCTTAGATAAATGGTGTTCTCGGGCCCACACTATGTCTCCCACCTTGGGTTTCCACTCTCTCCGCCTCAGGTTGTAGTGCCTGCTTTGGTTCTGGGCAGCCTTCTCCAAATTCCGACGCACGACTTCGAACAACTCCCGCAGCTTCTTTGCATTCTCGTCTGGCGATTCTGCTGCCTTTCCTGTTCCTATGGTTTCTCTGTCGTACAGGCTGTTTGGCAGACGTGGCTCCCGCCCTTGCGTGAGAAATGCTGAGGAGTAGCCCGTTGGGTCTGACACGCTCGAGTTGACCGCTAGCATAATTTCTGACCACTTTTCGTCCCAGCATCTTTGGTCCTGCCCCGCGAATTGTGCGATCATTGTTTTCACAGTTCTATTAGCCCGTTCTGTGGGGTTTTCTTGCGGGTTGGGGACTGACGATTGTGCTCCGCCGTTCCGTTGACCTTGCTGTCTCTGATTTGGATTCGATGGTCTCCATTGTGTATTCAGCGGCTGGGCTCGCTGGCTTACAATCTGTGGTGTCCATTGGGCTCTCGTGGACGACACCGGAGCCTCCGATTCCTTGCATCTTCTGCACTTGTTCTCCTCGTACTCGTCCGCCAGGATCATCAGCGTCTCCAGGTCGTCGATCTTATATGTTCTTAGGGAGATCCTAAGATCTGGTGTGCAGTTTTCCTTTATTACCTCGAGGGCTTCTTTCGGCGAGTATCCGAGTGGCCTCATCAGTGTCTGCATGTCAACCATGTAGTCATTAAATGATTCCCTGAATCCCTGTTTCCTCTGCTTTACTTTGTCTGTCAACTTTGTGAAGAAACCCCTAGGCAGGAAGTATGTCTGGAAGCTATGTCTATGAAGCATTTTAAGGCCTTCCCCTGTAAAAGCTCCGGCATCGCTCGAGGAACTATGTTCAAGTTCAAGACGTAAGTGTTTGCGGAACACTCTACTTGCTCTAAGAACTCTAGTGGCTTTTCCGTTCCGTCGAACTTGAACGACCACTCTCTGACCTGTTTCGCGACCTACCTGTCTGGTAGGATTGGCCTTGGGGTCTCTAGTTCTTCTCTCGTTCTCCCGGTGCTTCTGCTTCTGCCTGATTCCTTCATGCTATCAATATCCAGGCTAGCTATTAATTGCTCGGGATCTTGGTTCGATATCTTGAAGGATGGCGCTGGCTTCTGGCTCTATGTGGCTTCCAGGCTTATCCATATTTTTGCCATTTCTGGGTCGTTTTCCGTTTCGTCGTAGTATGCGGCTAACGCTTTCCGCTTATCCTCCGTTCTGCCTTCTAACTGGATGTTCAGTTTCGCCGCCACTCTTGTACAATCCTCGGACTTCAGCAGGTATATCCAGCTCTTCCCCATCTCTGTTGCTTCTGTTCACTTGTAAGGCAATCACGTTGGGCGCCAGATGTAACGAACTGTTTTTGTTGCTTTTATGCTCGCTACGGGATTTTGCGGCTAGCTCAGTAATGGTTGTACGTTCGTCCCACCAAATTTATATGTTGTAAATAAGAAGACAACGTTGATTTCTCGACTTCAAACTTGTTTATTCGACTTCTGAATGACTATTTAATGTATTGTTCGCCTCGGTATGATTCCCTCGATGCCTCCTCTTGGTTTGACGCCCTCTCCAGTGCTCCCGCTCGATCGTTGCCGTTGATGTCGGGTATTTCACGTGATGGAGTTGGACTATCTGGGCTGTGGGAAGCGTCACCGTTCCCAGACTAGGGTGAACAGGCGCCGTGTTCTCCAGGCGAATGTCCTTCGCAACATCGACTTCCTGCCCCTTGCTCTGTCCCGGCCGGTCCACCGAACGCTCAATTAATTCTCACCGTCGGTCCAGGCGTACGCCGGGTACCCGACGAATGATCCTCTCGTGACACGAACAGTTCAGACGAACGTTCCACCCTAGTCCCTACTACTCCGTGCTGGGGCTGTTCAATCCTTGGCTCTCGGGGTTTCGCTGCTCCAGGACTCTGGCAGACACAGCAGGGTTCTCAGCGTGCACGCCTTTAACACCCGTGCCGTTCAACTGCGCGTCCTTCGCGGCTTGTCGCACCAAAACGCAACTCTCGCCACAAGACGGACCAAGCGTGCGCCGGATCACGGTCTGGCAGACTCTACAGTATGCGTCTGATTCTTGACTTTTCCCCACCGAGGACACGTTTACTCGATTAAGGACTCGTTTGTGTAGACTCAGTCAGGACCCGCCAGGCAATACGCCGGGCTCAATGTCTCCAACTAGTGGTCGTCACAGGCGCCTAGTTCGAGTTGTGTGTTGCCTAAAGGACCTCAGCTACCTTTGTCTCAATTCGGAGACTTGCAATTTACAGTCCCGAACGTCTCGACGTAGCAATCTTGCTCCTTGTAGACTCCTTGCGTGGGATCCTTGCGTCCTTCGTCCGCGCCGTTGATCCTTTCACGTCCAGCTCTTCGTGTTTGTCCTCGCTTGAATCCTTGCTTGTATCCTTGCTTGACTTCTCGCTGCCTGATGTATACTCGTATTTCTCTTCTCCTTGACTGATCCTGGCTGAGCTGCGGGCTCCGCATATATAGGGCCCTCTGGTCCCGTTAATCCTCGGCGTCTCCTTTTCATCCGGGTCCAAGGTCCAACGGCGATCCCGTTATTTCTACGGTTGGATCGCGTGACCGGATCCAAGGTCCACCGCGATCCCGTTACTTCTTTAGTTGGATCGCGTGACCGGGTCCAAGGTCCACCGCGATCCCGTTACTTCTTTAGTTGGATCGCGTGACCGAGCCCAAGGTCCACCGCGATCCCGTTGCTTCTTTGGCTGGATCGCGTAACCGGGTCCAAGATCCACCGCGGCCACGCTATCCTTTTATCCAGCCTGTGAATCCGGGAGAGTTTTCCCGGAAAAATTACGTTTAAAAATTTAAACTAATAGAGACTGGCGACTAGCTGCTGGGGAATTTTAAAGAAAAGGCGAAAAAGACGAAAACGAATTTGGTTCCAAAGTTTATTGCTGCCAGCTGCTTCGAGGTTCGATCGGTTAATGTTCTCCCGAGAGCAGCATATCATTTTGCATAGCCACGAACAGAAAAGCTTATCAGTTAGATCGGCTATGCTCAAGCTTAAGTGCAACTGATAAGCTTTTGTACATATGTATTAGAGGTGGAGAACTATCGATGGCACTATCGGGAATATCGATTGTTTGCCACTATCGATACGCAATCGATAGCTGCGCGCACTCTCGATAGTGGTTAATCGCTATTGTCGATTGTTGTCGATATTTTGGTTTTCCCATGTCTACGTTAAAAGTGTAAAGGAAAGGAAATTGCGCGAATCTGTTACAGAGTTTTATAAATTGTTATTAAAAACATAATGGATCGTTTTCTTCAAATGGGTAAGATATTGTTATTTTGTTATTATAGTGTAATTTTGTATTATAAAGTTAAAAGCCAAATTTTGTGTGACAATAACAAAAGTGCTCCGTGAGATGCCATTACTGCTATTACGGTTTATTGTGAAATATATACGCATATATACATACACGCGTTTCTTTTTCACAAAGATAAATACATAATAATAAAAGTATACATTTAATTAAAGGAAAACGCCGAACATATACAAATTTATAAAAAGCAGTTAAGGGAAGCCTAAAAAAACAAAATCATTTTATTCGAACAATAATTATTTATTCTTTTCAGTTAAAGATTGGAAAACCAATGTCATACTTTATAAATAAATACTTTATATGTATATAAATAAATATTAAATTATTTTTATTTGAATGTACTCTGCACTTTCGACAACTATCGACGATAGATTTTCTTTGCTTTTGCCGATAGTCGATAGTTTATGAAAACTATCAAGCGCTATCGATGGCGCAGACTATCGATAATTCTCCACCTCTAATGTGTATGTAGATGATTTGTTTACATTTTGGCTGCATATATTCAATCAATTCTTTCTTTTCATCTATCCTTAAAACTAACAATAAAATTAAAAAATCAACATTCCGGCCCCGTTGAAGGCCTTCGGCGCTTTAACCTCCTCGTTAGGAGCGTTGCTTACTGGCAGCAATGCCAGCTTGTGGATGGCGCGCTTGATGACGCCTCCTGATGTCCGTACCTCCGCCACACGCACTCTTCCGTCCTCACCGACTGTGGTTGCCACCACGCGGCCTGTGAGCCATCTTTGCGGTGGCATGTTGTCCTCGTGCACGAGCACCAGGCACCCGACCTCCAGATCGCGGCCCTCGACGCACCACTTGTTGCGATGCTGCAGGCTGGCGATGTAGTCCTTGGACCAGCTGGCCCAAAACTGCTGCTTGAGATCGGACAGCATTCGCCACCGCCTCAAATATCCGCAACTGGCCTTGCTGGAGATTCCGTCTGTGTCGGACTCTTGCGGCAGCGTGATCAGAGGCTGTCCGATAAGCAGATGTCCTGGAGTCAGGGCCTCTCCATCATTGGGATCGTTGCCTGGCGACGCGATTGGTCGAGAATTGAGCAGCGCCTCTACCTCGACCAGGTGGGTGCTGAGCTCGTCCGCTGTCAGCTTGGCGTTGCCGACTCCTCGAAGCAGCCGGTGTTTGGCGGCCTTGACTGCTGCCTCCCACAGTCCTCCGAAGTGTGGTGACCTCGGCGGTATGAAACACCACTCGACGGCTCTCTGAGCCACGTATCCTCTCAATTGTTCCTGACTGCGGTGGAACGCTCCGCTCAGATCCTTGAGCACGTTGCTCGCTCCCACGAAGTTCGTGGCGTTGTCGCTGTACATCTTCTGAGGCAGCCCTCTCCTCCCGATGAACCTTTTAAAAACGGATAAGAAGCTGTCAGTGGATAAATCTACAACGAGCTCAAGGTGAACAGCCTTTGACGATAAACACACGAAAACGGCAACATAAGTCTTGATAGAAGGTTTACCGCGGATCTTTAGTGACACATAAAATGGTCCGCAAAAATCTACCCCGCAAACCAAAAAGGGGCGTGCTATCCTGACCCTATCGGCTGGCAAATTGCCCATTATCTGACCCATTGGCACTGGTTTGTATTTGAAACAGTAAACACAGCTACGGACAACTTTTGTGCATGCTTCTCGCGCATTGATTAGCCATATCTGCTGCCTCGAAAGTGATACCATCACTTTGGCACCAGCATGGTAATGAGTACGATGCAGGTCTCGAAGAAATAGAGAAACAAATTCTGATTTTGAGGACAGTAATAGTGGAAATTTGGCATCATACGGAATTGGTGCATTTAACAACCTTCCCCCAACTCGGATTAATTGAAGTGTTACGCCTTCTAATTCGCTAGTGTGTAAGAAAGGATTTAGACGTTGAAGATGTGGCCTTAAAGTTCCAGATTTCTCGAGCTAGACATATTCTAAACCAAAATCAGCTCTTTGATATACTTGAACCATTCTTAGAAACGATAACTTCAGTTCGTAAGCCGAAATAACAATATCGCGATCATTTTTCTTCCCTTGAATAAACCGATTTGCATATGCCATAATCCGCAGGAGTTTATTGAATGACGAACATCTTCCAACAAGCTCAATGAAGACATTCGGTTGATTTGTTGTGACGGAACATACTGCAACGCTTTTCTTGTTCTCGGACAACTGTAACTCCGGTGAAACTTCAGTCTGATGAGAACGAGGCCACTCGTTAGGATGTCGGAGTAAAAATTCTGGTCCATTTTCCCATAGCGTACATTTTAAACCCTCTATATCTGTTCCACGTGATACTAAATCGGCTGGATTATCTTCCGTGGGCACAAGCCGCCAGACAACATTCTCTGAGAGCTCTTGAATTTCAGAAACTCTATTCGCAACAAATGTAGCTAGAGTGGACGGATCTCTCTTAAGCCAGTATAAAGTCACTTGGGAGTCCGACCAGAAGTTGATGCTTTCAAACTCTAATTTGTTGAGCAAGGGAAATACTTGAGCCCATAATTTGGCAAGCAGATGCGCTGCACACAGCTCGAGCCTTGGAATCGATTTGGTTTTGAGGGGGGACACTCTCGACTTGGCGGTCAGCAGTCTCGACAAACTATTTGTCCCAGCCATGGTACGAATATAAATGCAACAGCCATAGGCGTGGCTCGATGCATCAGCAAATCCGTGGATTTGAACACTGTCATAGGAAGACAAACAAATGTATCGAGGAATGGATATCCGGTCAATTTCTAGTAAATTCTGTTTGAATTCATTCCAACTGGTATGTAAATACTATTAAAGTTTTATTCGCTCAAGTAAAAACACTGTTTAAAGTAAAATAGCAATTTATTTAGTAGGCTTGATAATTGAGGCGTCAGAAGAAGTAACCAGATTGCCAGATCGGTGAAAGAAGTGTGCCCGGTGCTTAAAAACAAACAAAAAAAAACACTAGCACCATATTTTTGAATACATATGTATTTTCTCAGTTTAAATTCAAATAATTAAACATTACTTTAACACTTTCCCTTGTTAATTAGAGTTGAATTTCTGAGTCTCTCCCTCTTACTATATGAGTCCTATCTTCATCGAAAGAATCTTCAAGCGTGTTCTTTGCAGCGGCTTCGTAAGAATGTCTGCTAATTGATCTTCTGTGGAGATTTGTTGAACCCCAAGTTTCCCTTCTGTCACTTTTTCTCTTATAAAAAAGTGTTTGATGGAAATATGTTTGGTTCTGCGGTGAAACTCCGGATTTTGAGCCAGTCTCACTGCTGCAGAATTGTCAACTTGTATGACGGGAACGTCTTTGAGTTTGACGATCCCTCTGAAGAGTCTGCTTAACCAAATTGCTTCTTTGGCTCCCTCGTTCGCTGCGATGATCTCTGCTTCGGTAGTTGAGGTCGCAACAACTGCTTGTCGTTGGCTAGTCCAGGAAACTGCGCCTCCTGCATACTTCACGGCGACTCCAGAAGTAGAACGCCCTGTCTTGATGCAACCGCCAAAGTCTGCATCACTGAACACTTGTAGAAGTCCCACTTCGACATTGCTTCGATAAACGATTCCCAGGTCCAGAGTCCCTGCTATAAATCGGAAGACTCTTTTGACTCGCACGACATCGTCTTGAGTAGGGTTTTCCAGTGTTCTTGAAATGAACCCCAGTTCTTGAAATGAACCCCACACTGTATGCCAGATCTGGTCTCGTGCCAAGCATCAGGTACATCAGTGCTCCAACTGCCTGCCTGTACGGGAATTTGGTTGGCTCGTCAGCTTTCCCTGGTGTTAAAACGTTCTAAAATTTTCTGTGCGTAACTCTTTTGACAAACCTTAATGCACTTTTCTTCTTGTGCAATTTCAAGTCCCAAAAAATAATCTGCTTTCTTTGAGACGATTTTGAATTCCGATTTCAACTCTCCAATGAAAGTTTCCATCTCGCTGAGATCTGTTGCTGCTAGAAGACCATCATCCACGTAGACCACAAGTATGAGTTTCTGTCCGTTCTTCTCTCGAATATACAGGCATGGATCTGCATCGCTAGCCTTGAATCCATGTTGTTGAAGAAAGACTGTAAGACGCTTGTTCCAGCACCTGGGTGCTTACTTCAGGCCGTAAAGACTTCTCTTTAACTTGCAGACCTTGCTGGATCCATCTTCATAATTTGGTGGTTGTCTCATAAATACGGTTTCTTCGAGTTGTCCATACAAGAAGGCTGTTGATACATCAAACTGCATCAAATGCAGCTTCTCACTCGCTGAGATGCTGAGTATCGATCTAATTGTTCCCATCTTTGCAACTGGACTGAAAGTTTCATTGTAGTCAATGCCGTAACGTTGACTAAATCCCTTGATAACGAGTCTTACTTTGAACTTATCAATGCTGCCATCAGGATTTTTCTTCAGCCGGAAGACCCATATGCATGGTATCGCCTTTGCACCTGGTTGAAGTTCGGTTAAAGTCCAAGTATGATTTTCTTTCAACGAGGCGATTTCTTGATCCATTGTTTTCTTCCACTCTGCTGAATCCTTGCTCCTTAGGGCATCTTCAAGCGTCACAGGATGTTCAGTCATCTGATTTACAACCTCTTCTACTGTCATGGCGTAATATTCAAGATGCTGGGGCTTCTTTAAGGTTGAACGATCTCTCAGTACTCTCTTGTTTGTCTCTTCTTTAGTGTTTGACTCAAACTCTTCTTCAGTGAAGGATTCGTACTCTTATTCAGTGTTGACTGATGGCTCATCATGATCACTTTCTTCGATCTTGATCTCTGCCTCATCATTGACATCGTCTTTAATCTCATCTTGACTTTCATTCTCGATGTCTTTTAGTGGTAGCTCGATTTTACATTCACATTATTTTGGTCTCTCTTCGAATTGAACATCTCTTGACACGATGACTTGATGAATGTCTGGAATGTAGATTCTGTAACGTTCGTCACCATCGTATCCTACGAGCACACCTTTAACTGCCTTCTTGTCCATCTTCTTCCTCTTTTCAGCTGGTACATGGGCGTAGCAGGTGGATCCAACAATGCGGAGATGTTTGATCCTGGGTTTCTTCCCCATCCACAACTCGTAGGGACTGACTCCTTCTTTGGATGATTTTCCGGTTCTATTAAGAATGTAGACTCCTGTCGACACTAGCTCTGCCCACATTGCATCTGGAAAATCAACTTCGCAGTTTGAATACTTCAATGTCCTTGCCATTTCCACAATCGTACGATTTTCGCGTTCACTGCCACCATTTTGTTCTGGAGTGTATGGCGCTGTCAGTCTCTGAACGATTCCACTCTCTGCTAGAATGCTTTTGACTTCTTTGCAGTCAAATTCCCCGCCGTTGTCGCTGAGTAGCTCCTTAATGTTGTGTCCAAGTGTCTTCGAATGTGCTAAAAATTGTTTTAAAACGACTTTAACATCTGATTTATGTTTGATAACGAAGCCATAACGAAACTTTGTGAAACTGTCCTTAAAAACAACTAGAAATCGTTTTTTGCTGAAGGATTCACAAAAAGGACCTACAACATCAGTGGAGACAAGTTCTCCTGGTTTTGTTGTCTTTGCTCTTGTGCCAAAAGGTAGACGATGCGCCTTTCCGAAAATACAGGGCTCACAAGTTTCTTTAACCAGCTTCACGTTAATGCCAAACTCCTTTTTGAGCATCTCTCTCACGTGTCTCTTGTCTTGGTGACCCCATCTTTCGTGGTACAACTGCAGTGTAGAACTTTCTGCTTCTGCGACATTGACTCTTTCTTCTTTGTCAGGAATGACCGGTTCAATCGATGCCTTGTACAGAGACCCGCCTTTCTCACGACTTCCGCACAGTACTGTTCTTCCCTCTACTTCCAACCACTTGGTTGCTGTTGAATGAAATCTGCTGTTTTCGTTCTTGTCTTGGGCTGCTAAAACAGAGAATAAGTTCTTCGAAATTTTCGGAACATACCAAACATCGGTCAACGTCATCTTTAGTGTCGCATCTTTAGTGAAGGACAGAATCTCGATTGTTCCCTTCCCAATCGCCTTGAGAGATTCTTTTCCAGCAGCTTTGATGACGCATGGACTATGAAACTCTTGGAAGTCAACGAACTGGTCTGGACAGCTGGTCACGTGTTTCGTCGCTCCATTGTCGATCCACCAACCTGCGTCTGCCGATGAATTTGTTTCCATTTTTAGAGCATCCTCAGAGACGGGAAGTAAAGTTAAATTGGTATCTACGGTGTTGCTTTGAGGAGCATTTCTCTTTGGTCGTCCATCAGAAATCCACTTCCTGCAGTCTGTCACCCAATGTCCTTTTTTCTTGCTGTAATGGCAACTGTCAGTTTCTTTGGACTTCTTCTTTGACTTTGGTTTTCC